AGCCATTTTCCAGCGTCTTCTGCGTTCTGAGGAATCTATGTGATGGCTGGATTTAACAGGACACCTTATACCTGAGTAATAAGGGCTGTTAGCTCTGTAGACTTGCTCTATCACATGCCAGGGTTACTGTAGGTAGACATCGCCCAATTGGCAGCGACCACCAATGCGTTTGAGCTTGATACTTGAAACGATAGACTGCTCCGGATGCGGTTGGTACTGCAACCACGCTCAAAGGATCCCTCACCCAGATGCACTGATTGAGTCGTCGTCCCGATCGCCCTCCTCCCCCACAACACGAGCGGCGTTTCCAAGCATGCTTTAATCGCATCGGTCCGTTCTAATCACCTCATTGTCTCTAATCCTCTGCTTTCCTTGTACTCTTCGGAATCTCGGCCGAACTGCAGCACTCTCTCAATTCCAGACGTTCCCTGATTTTCGATTCGTGCCAGCCACTTCGGGTCAGTTGCACGCATACATATGTGTGTGCGTACGTGACATTCGTTGCACTAATGTGCCCATAGAGAGTACCGCTGCACGCGCAGCTGATTGACTACAGATGTTCACATGAATAATTACATGACGTCGAAAGGTTCCACACACTTATTTATTAAATTTATTCACATCTATGATAAGTTAGCACTTTCACGGCTTGCAAAACCAATTGCAAGCCAAAAAAGGAAAATTACGAAAAAACAATATTCATATCTTGTAGTATAAATTATGCATGCACCACTGGCACATGGGCAAACATGAACGCAACTACAAAAAATGCTAGCTGAATCAAAGAACTAACCTCCGCAAAATCCAGAACTCAATGATAATTGCTGCATAAACCAGCTTATAAAGAAATTCGATAAAAAGGTAAAGTAATGTAAAGTATAGTCACGCGGAAACCTGACCAGCTCTCCTCAAGAATCAACGCATGTCAGAAACGAATTGGTCCCGTATAGCCCTCAAGCCAAATTAGTTGGCGGTATCTTTTTAGCGCTGATCTTGTGTTCGGGCAAACTACGAGCTCTAAATAATCATTACAAAACTGCCAAAATTACCGGTCCCGGTGGCGAAACTCACGGAAAGCAATCTATAAAGGTGAAGCTGCCTTTGCAAAATGAGAACTTAGTTCCATGTTACGAGAAGGATAAAGCTTCAGGAGATTGGCAGTCTCTTTCTGAGATACGCCATGCATCTTACTTCCATTCAGAATCGTAAGTATTGCATGCGTTTTTGCCTAAAGAATGGCATGCCGAGCCGAGGTACAAATTCAGTATTTTAGTCCTCGCCAAGCAGCCCAATATTGCCTTTGCCGGAGGCGCCATGAAAAATTTTGTTGTCCAGCAGGCATCCGCCTTCGGACACGTGATCGGCGAAAAGGGAATTCAAGTTGCTAAGGAATGAAGCCCTCGTTGATGGTCGACCTTTTTTGTGATGCGCCACAGATCCACTACCATTCAGGATCGTACTGGCTAGTTGAAGGCGAGTTCCTCTAAACAAGGAGCCGCAAGCCTTGCCGAAGCTAGAAGTTTTGTCCTCCCTGATAAGTCTGGAACCAGGTTAAAGGATCCAGACAATGGGAGGCAATCGTTGCACCGAGTGTGGATGCAATTTGGGAGTGAATCTGTGGAACAGTGTGGTGAACGGTGCTACTTGCTACAATACCGCCTCGATTACACTTCCTAGACCGAGGCCGAAGATTAAACTAAGTTGATAATTTTTTTTTCGTTTAACTCCGAAGTGCCGTCTCTTGAACCCATGAAGCTGAGAGAATAATGTGGAGGAGGAGGATCGATGTCGTGTGAATGCCAGCGATCACTCCACCAGAATACCGAGGCTCCCACAGAATACCGTACGGTCGCTCTTTGACAGCTTTCTCGGGGCAACCTATGACATGAGTAAAGCCGTATTCCAATTACGGACCCGTTCGGACCTGCTGAATCCAATCTTCGCGCAAGCTACTTGCCAATCCTTAAATTGCTATAGAAGAAGTGGATGGGTTTAACCCATCATGTTCCTAAAATACCGTTCGCGCGGCGTGACTCCCGGGATTACACGCAGCCTAATCGCTGCGTTGTTTTGTATGTTATTTTTTTTTCCACTGACAGTTGGATATAAATAATAACCAAACATCAGAGAAATAATATCCACACACTAGAGGAGGCGCGTATACCTTGAAAAATACTCAAAAACTTTCCTCTTCAGGCGAATCGTGCATTCTTAGAAGTACACGCGCCTCCTCGCTCGTTTTTGATGAATTTTTTTTCTTCTTTCACTGACAACTATATGACAGTTTCTCGTGTATTTTTTGAACCAGGCTGAGGCAGTAGTCGGTATTTTCAAGTGGGAGAACTAAAAATTTCACAATGAAACCAAAGTCCACTCCTCTTTGGCATCCAGTGAACATCAAAAAGGGCAAGAAAGCTAGTTCATTCACCGAAACTTAGATAAGACTTGTAGAAGGGAAAAATGTTAAAAGAATGGCGAAAAACGGTTTTCTGTGAATTTTTAGGCGTTTATGTTTCCTCGCCGAGGCGCCGCAGCCATGAAAGGATAATGACTGCCTTTAAAGCACATAGTACGTCTCATACACATTTGAGGTGTATGCAGACTATCAGCCCCCCCCCCCCGCCCCCAGAATGTCGATGTGTCGTGGTCCCCGCCCAAACATGCCCAGGAATGGAGATACAGGGCCGTGAAACACGCTAATTCTTCCATGCTCCGCCCACTGCCTTTTTACGGCGCAGATTCCCGCCGTTCATAACATCCGTCGTAAGCGCGCCTGTCGCGTGCGGCTCCTTGGCACTTTGCCAAGTCCTTTAATTGCGCTCTCAAATACAAGTAAAACGCAATTTCCTGATGCGGATAACATTGGAGGTGCTACAAAATAAGAGCAGAAGATGATGCAGCAGAGGGGGCCAGAACTCAAGAGCAACTCGGCTGCATCTGCAGTATCCATCAAGGGCCGCGCATTCCACAAAACATGAAAATAAAAACAGCCCAAGCGTCCCACTCGTTTGTTCTAAGTATTTCTATGGCTTTGGCGCCGGATCGTAGAAATTTACAGGCCAGTTTATCTAATTTGCCTTTCCTTGATTTTTTCATTTTTGTTTTGTTTACATTTACATCGTTGTGGTGCTTCATTCTAGCCTGTGTCATCTTCATCTCCTTGTACATGGATTTTGAAGCATGAGCAACACCTAGAATTTTATTCGCATCAGGAAATTGCGTTTGTATCAAACTAACAAGTATGCCCTTTTTATTTTCATGTTTCGTGAACATACGCGGCCTCCGAGGGATGTTGCAGAAGTGGCACAGTTGCTTTTAAGTTCTGACCCTCGTCATCATCTTCTGTTCTTATTTTGTAGCACCTCCAATGTTATCCGCATCAGGAAATTGCGTTTTACTTGTATTTGAGAGCGCAATTAAAGGACTTGGCAAAAGTGCCAAGGAGCCGCACGCGACAGGCGCGCTTGCAACGGATGTTCAGAACGGCGGGAATCTGCGCCGCAAAAAGGCAGTGGGCGGAGCATGGAAGAATTAGCGTGTTTCACGGCCCTGTATCTCCATTCCCGGGCATGTTTGGGCGGGGGGACCACGACACATCGACATATTGGGTTGATTAGTACTCTACACCCTCAATGTTATGAGCACATGCGCGTCTGAAACAGGAGAAAACCAAACTTTTCGTTCGCGCAGTCATTATGAATGCTTTTCACAAGTGCTGACCACTTCTACAGCGCGTTCACCACCCTCTCACCCTTTTCCAATGACTGGATGTAATCTCTCTTTCCCTTGCGTCGAGCAGTAGGTGCTTCACGGCATGTTAGGAGTCCCTAGCAGGGTTCATGTTTGCTCGGTGGAAGGAGGAGGGGATTGCATTCGGCCATAAAAAACCCCTTTAATAGTTGAGTTTTCCTGTTTCATGCGCCTACGCACATACTTTGCTGGGAGAATTAAAATATGTAGGGGCACGGGTGCTACTTTGCTCGCCGTTGGAGGACAGGGTTATTTGCAGAGTAATTTCTCGAGCCGCAGAAAATTCCCTAGCTATTGATGGCGCAGCCGAAGTCCTATTCACATTATTTCTGTTTTGAAAATAGTAGCTGTTTAGTAATGACCTTTTCCCCTTTCCCCTTTCTTACCATTAGTGCAACAATGGCGCAAGTGACCGCTTGAATCCCGTTTACCTCCTACATTTATCCCAATAGGATGCGTGGAATAACTCGTCCAAAGCTCTTTACAGTAGGCCTATCACGGGCCGATAGGTTTGGGCGATTCCGAATGGAAGTCGAATTCGTGGCGCATACAGCAGAGATTTGTCAAGGCCGACCACGCTATTTCTTTTCTTTCCGATTTCTAAGAACTGTAAGTTTAAAGAAGTTGTAAATTGCCCTTACCTTTTCAATGACATCTACTGCTTGTTTACAATCAATAAGACAAAGGTGAACGGTTTTTGCTGTAATAGGCCACGAATGAGTCACATTCCATGTTTTGTCATCATTTACCTGAGTTACTATGAAATATGTAAGTCATAGAATCTTTTAAGTAAAATATTCATGTATTACTAAGCGATGACTTATTCACGCGTTTTGAAACTTGAGTAATAATGGAGAACGGAGGCGTATGCCATGAGTCATGGAGAAGGCGTGACAGCCGACGTTTCAAAGATTTAAGAGGCGGCATTTTCTGAGGTAGCTGACAGCCTGGCTAAGATTCATTTTGGGCTACCCTTTGCTTTAACTCTTTACGTTAGTTGATCGACTCGTGTGGACTCTTCTGTTGCTCTTCTCGTGTTTATCTGTGTGTTCACCTCACTCTCAAACGGATCATAGATCAGCCCGTCAAGTTCACTTATACTTTTGTTTATCGAAAAGAGTAGTTGCCAGTCAAAGAGCTCAAGGTCTGTCTAATGAACAGATAAAGTCCTTTACCCTTTTACTTCCTCTAGTTTCCGGGAAACCACCCTCTGATTCCAAACGATCAACTTCCATGACATGTTCTTTGAGGTGTTGACGTTGGTGACGCCGACGAGACCACGGCGTCACGTGCTGGTTCGGGCAGAGCTTATAAGAACTGCCATGGAAACCCTGGTAAACATGGTTTTCTTGGCATTCCGTCTTCTTTACCTGGATTTCCTGTCCGACGTGATCTTCTCCTGCAAGTTTTTTGGATTGTGTAATATCAGGGTATCCTAACCCTAGGATTAGTAGAGATTGCTCAGATCAAAAACTATTTGATCCTAGCACTTCTTTGATTTGTTAATTACGCTTGTTATCTTTGATTTGTTAATTACGCTTGTTATTTTATTGTCTGGCTAGAGAGACCACCAGTTCGAAAATCGGCTGAGCAAGTTACTACCTGCATCTCTGTTTGCCCAAGTCAGTATTAAGGACAAACCCTTAGATACCCTTGGAACCCTTAGATGGAGGCGTTCGTTACAAACCCATAGTCGACAAATGACTCGCCCGGGAATAAAAATGCAAAAAATGCACAACGGCCTCAGTAAAGACCTGGCAGCCTCTCTGAACGATTTCTTCGGGCCTGCTCGTTTTATGCCAGCAAAGGGATATCGTGCCGCCTTTGATTCACTAATCGTCTCTTCGCGTTATCTAGTGCTACTAGCATACTAAGCTGAGAAATAAGAAAAATGAAAGCTTAGGAACTGTACTTGACTTGTGACAGGAAACAGCCTTTAAGTTTGTATGGGCGGGGCAACTAGGGAGGCGTCAGAACTGCCATTTATGAGGGTCGCAGTGCCTTCCTTACTTCCTGTGAAGCCGCGAAAGTGGAATAATCTCAGAGAATGAGGGCCGGACTACTCGTACAAGAAAATGCTGAGTGCTTGAGCTGCATGAGCGCGGGAGTGTCTTCAACAGCTAAAGAGTACATAATGCCTTAGGAATAGATGCAGAACTGCTGGTATTGTCCACATGATCTGGCTATGCATCTGGATTTTACAGTGATTTGTGTGGAAAGAAAAGGTTGCTTTTATTCTCCAAGACTGAGGCTGGTGCCGTGGAATGTGGCGCTGATTCCACTGCGTTCGAGGGTGAAATCGCGAGCCAGTTTTCGCCTGAACCAACCAAACCTTCTCTCCCCGTTGGAACGGTGAACTGAATGGTAGCAGACTTGTCGAAATACACTGACTTGTGCACTGTCTGGCACTCGAACGTATGGGTCTTGTGGCATTCCAACCACCTCTATGGTTCTGAATGAAGTAGAATGCATGGCTATCGGACTGACCAGTGATCCTTTATCCTCTAGCATTCTTTCATTCTGTGAGATGTAATGTTGGTGGGAAGGAGGCTTCGCCACCACCAACATGTTGAAGATGGTCGTGGGCTGATTCGGAGAGGAGCCAAATTCTGTCTTTACTTATTTGCTATTAGCTTTCGTTTTTTTGGTTGCCCCTGCTCGGCTAGATTAGAGCTTTCTCTCTTGATCAGTAGTAGTGCAGCATTCGAAAACTGCAGCACAAGTGCAAGTTCTGAGTTCGTTTCGTTATCTTAAGTAATCCACAAATGGTGCCAGAGGAGCTCCTGAACCCGCGCCAGATATAGTGCTCATTTCTAAGGTCCAGGGTTGTTCCGTGGCTGGGAAGACAGGCTAAACGTAACGAAGCGATCAAGTACTCAGCGGGTGTTCTAGCTAGCTCAGCGCTATTACTGCGCCTTGCCGGCTGGCAGCTCTTAGCGCCCTCCTTTTAGTTAGTGATACATTTACTGATTTGTGAACTCCCCGTTGATGAGAGTTCCACTACCGTAACTGGTTGAAGGACATGCCGTTTCGGTACAACTTTCTCAAAAAAAGTAGAAATGACGCTTTCTAAGGTCTGGAGAACATAGCTACAGAGCGTTTGAGCACTAGCCAGGAACCCACGATGTTTCGACCCCCTTTTCAAAACCCAGATCATATCTATTCGGTGCTTCTCGTCTCGAAAGTTCCGGGCCTCTGGAATGCACCACGAAATCGTGTCAAGGCCTTCGATCATCATACGTTCGCTTTTGTCGCCGAATGTCGCTTTCATTGGGGGCGATTTTCGAGGACGGTGGCCTGAATTCCGTCATACGTTCACCTTCGATATGCTATAAATTCAGGTCAATCGGTTACGAACCCTTGTTCACTCTCTACTTTGACTTTCTTTCGTCATCACACCTCAGATAGCTACTCTTAAGGACCTATTCTTGACGGGCCTTCCCTTAGCTCTATTCCCATGTGACTGATCAGACAATCTTTTCGCTATCCCATGGGTCTATAGGTAGCCAGGGACAAAGAGCTTTAAGGGGTTTTTTCCGAGAAAAACTAAAGCGGACTAATTAATCCTGTTTACTTTCTGCAAGCGAAAACAAGTGATATGGCTAAATGAGGTAAACAACACTTGTGATAACACTAATTGTTTTTATTCGGCACAATTTTGAGTCCTGTTTTTGACTAACCTGGGCTTACCAGCGCTCATGATGGGTAAATTTTTCTAGCACATGATGCGTAAATTTCCTAAACAGACCCTCGCACTATACCCAGTACTTGACCATTCGCTAAGCTCACGTCACCAAACCCTCCGAAGTTCTCTCACATATTCCTACTAATGCAGACCAAACCCGTCTGGCCAGTTCCCACCCGCAGCGCCCACCATCGACTCTTCTCTTAAGATCTTCCCCTGTGATGTGCCATGACTGTTGCAATGACTTGAAGCTTTAGCATCTTTGATAGGTCCAACCGAGGACTCCGCTGTGGTAGTGAGGGGTTTTTTCTTTAATCTCCACTGACGTCGTTCGCATAGTTGTTGCTTGAACTTGTTTACGCGGGTACTCTTCTCCTTACGCTTGACAGAATGTACTCATTTCTTATAGCAATTCTAGTTCAGCATGAAGAGCCCGGTAATTGCCTTCCCCCTGAGGCTATTAGGCCTGGACGTTTTTCTGACAAAATTGCACTTTTTTCCTCCCTCCTGCTTTTTCGTAACACATTCTCTTTGTCCGTAGGTACTATGGCCATGAAGTAAGCAAAAATCAATCTGTACTACCGAGTAGCTTGTTTAACAGGTGCAATGACCCGGTTTAATCGCTCTCCTAACCCTGCGACGCGGAAAGCCCGGGTCCGGTTACAGATCCGAGCCTGTTTTTTTTCGCTATAGTTGCAAGTATCCTTTCCCAAGGGTGGTACCCACTTGAGGTTAGAGCTAGGGCGCATATCGTGCGGCGACCTGCGGTTTCAGTTATCCCCCTTCCCTCAAATTTGCTCTTAGCCAGCGACCTCCCCTATCCTGCCCTCTCTTCCTTAAACTTCAGCTTCCTACCAACTTTTTTTCAAGTCCCATCCACACCTATAAAGGAATCGCGTCCTAGCGAACATTCCACGCAGAGGTCGCGCTGGGGGGAGCATTTCCACTCTGAGCCATCTAGAGAGCTTTTTCAACAAAAAGACAAGTATGACGGGTTTTTGGTGTCTAGACCGACTGTGCTCTAGCTTCACCAGAGTCACAATGTTCCAACTCAAAGCGAAACTTTGTGTACCGGAACTCAGTAGCGTGAGGTACAAAATGCCCTCCTTGCAGAACAGCGCATTTCTCTCCCCCAAAAAAACGCGGGTCCAGCGAAGGTTCATGGAGGTTCGTCACAATCCAACTAATAACTACCAACTTCAACTACCAAAACAATGGCGGTCGCTGCAATTCAAGAATGGGGGCAGTGTGACGTTGCCGACGTCTCCCGTTGCACTATTGATATTCTTTCGACTCGTAGGTGTCCCGAAGTCGTTACTATTCTATTTGCGGTTTTCTTATCTCATTTCGCTCACTGTAGTCTAGATAGCGCTGTACGCCCCACAGTAAAGTGCACAGATCTTTTGGCGGCATCCTTCTGACTCTGTGCAATTTTGTTAGCAATTTTAAAGTACAAATCTCAGCAGTCTTGGACGATTTGATTATGTTTTCAAAGGGCGTCGTTGAACGTACGTTCTATGCCGCTCGTGTTTTTCGCGTCGTCCCGTCGTTGCGGTCTCGAAAAATAGACATCGCGGTTGTTCAAAAAAGAAAACAATCGCGATACCCCTGTTGACCATCATAACCCACTAAATCCGCGTCGGTTACACCTGGCGCTCGTCCAGGAATTATCATGTGATATGGCCGCATGTTGCCGTAGAAATCTATATCCTTAATACATCTTTTCCAGTTATCGTCGATTACTTACTCTGCAAAGCCGCATACCCTCGATAGTTATTCGTAGTTTTCTCCGCGTAAGGACGTTCAGACTCAAGGAATTTTTAGCTCTTTCATGAATGGTCAAAGGGTTTTGGGTAGTCATCATTGTGTTCTTGTTTGAATGGAGAAAATCCACAATGCAGACCACCGCGTACGTCGGAGCACCATGTAAACAAGGATATTCTGGCCAATCCTTGCTAACAATGGGAAAAAATACGATTCCCAAGAGTTACGCCATCATAGCTGTTCAGCTGCCCACTGCCCATTCAACAGCAGAAACTCGCTGAATAATGAGGTTTCGCACCAAATTGATTAGTTTGGGAAACACTAATCTCGAATGAGGTGGACTTTGTGGCCTGGCAGGTGAAATGTTTAGGAGTGAATAGATTAGAAGAAATAAGTTCCGAAAACGGCATTTCGTTGACTGCAGTTTTGACTAGAAAAGGCTCGCAAGCAACTAAAAGGGTAGTCTTCGCCTCCGACGGCTCCCTTTTCGGGATCATTCTGCTTCCGTGCAGAATCGTAAGGGCTTGCTGAAATCATGTGGCCCTGCAGATTGACTTCCGTCACTAGACAGTAGTGTTTCTTTCCTCCGGCGAAATTTGGTACGAGTTGCCGCCCCAGAAGGTAAACGCCTGTTAGTGTTGGGCAAGGAAGTCGATTCGGGACTTTGACCAACTGCAACATTGAAACGATCGGCAAACGCATAACTGCACTTTAATCACAATGCACCATCACCTCCTCCACCTACAACCATTATAAATTTTTTTATGTGTACGCGACTGTTGTGGCGTAACCAAATCAGGCTGAGTCCTGCCCAGACCAATCAAGCCCCCTCGCGGAGTCTGCTAGATGGTACAAAGACTTTCTTAAGGAGTAGTACACATAAAACGTGCATAACAGTAAACATATACGTACTAAATAGATGCTACTGCGACTCTGACCGTGAGACTGAAGTGGCGCATCCCAACAAAAACTGATCATTGGTCCAACACTCTCCCTTTTTAATACACCTCTTATTTCATAATATATGATACTGAAAAATAACTCAGAACAAAGGGGAAGGGGGGGGGAGCTTTTAGGCATTCGCAGGAAGAGAAAGCAGTTCAAATTAGCAAGGAGGAATTCTCATAATTTTAGGTTCGTTCCTTTCAAGATGCGTAGCTGCTTCAAGTGATATGCGATGTGTTACGGTGGGAGGCGGGGCATCATCGGTAGTGCAGATCCACGCAATCGAGTTCTCTTTCCCGTTCAACGCTAATTAGAACCAGATTTAATGAGATTGAAAAGACTGACCCCACTCCGTGTGCCTACATCGTCAAGACTTGTAATGTCGATGTTGCTAGAATAATAACACTCCTTTATGATGTATGTTCGTTGAATAGCGAAATTTCGTTATTTATCTATAAAGAAGAAACAAATTGAAAAAGTCTGAACGCTGTCATTCCAAAGAGTCTTGGGATTATTTTAATGTTTATAAGCAATATAAAGTTATAATTACCAGGTTTTTCGTTTCGACAGAAAAGCTGATAACGATTGACTTGCCATAAGACCACCACAAGAGCCGGTAAATCAAAGTCGCCACCCCCCGATAGAAACGCTACTATCGTGGAGAGACAGCTGACTTTTGAAGAGGGACTCAGTGGCAAATATCGCACTATACTCATAAGTACGAACCTGTGGTGGGCTAGACAAGTGTGGTTCCCAATGGACACACTGGTCAGTTTTGGCGTCAGCATGTGTAATAAGATAAAAGTGTTAGGGGCGGCAGTGTCGCGAAGCTGACTCTCCTCAAGAACAAGTGAGCTCCGCTCGCCTAAGGTGTCTGCTTCTTGCTGTTGTGTGATTCTTGTTCTGTCTGAGCTTCTCCCAGCGATCTCTGTAATAGTTTTAAACTCTGCTTACCTTGTGATGTCAGCTGCAAATAGGGGCTTTATTTACGGCTGGTTTCTGACGTTTTGCTCGCTCCCTTCACCCGCACACGTCACCCACACGCAATCTTTTTTTCTGATCGGGCGATAGCTAACAAATATTTTCACGGGAATTCGCGAAAAGCGAGCTTTTATTCTCTCGCATTCCTTTTTGTGATTGCCTCGATTTAAACATTTTTAGTGATTTTCATTTTTCCTTTGTTTATTGGGACACCCGTCAGGGATAAAAAACACCTTGCCAAGCTTATTTGTCGGCACTAAATTTTGTGAGATTATTTTAAATTGATATGAAAAGCAAACTATATAATATTGGCAAACTTAGGCCGGTTTTTTTCTCAGTCGTGAAAGTGTGCCTCCATCGTCAAATCCTTTAAAAGTAACACACTCATCGTTGCATTAGACTTTACTTCAATCCTCTTATAGGACGGCTGAACTTGCTTGCTCTCCTTGTACTTGCGCTCAACATTCTGGACTGGGTTGAACTACTAATCCCGCTCCTCTGTCCGGAATCGTTCCATTTCTACAGATACCCTCCATTAGTCACAGTTTGTCCTAAGTAACGAGGGATGTCCTTAATTCCTTCTTGCGTCTGGTCTCTATCTAAGGCCCTCAAAGCTCTTATCGTGGCTTCCTCAGCGACGACGTTGCCGCTGGAAGTCCATCGTGTTAGCGCGTGCGCCTAATTGTCTGCGAACCCACACTGCGTAAGTCGTGTGGTCCGTCAAATCTATTTGCATTTCGGCGTAGTGCTCACGACGAAACATTACCGTCAACTCACTCACAGTAACACATCGCAAACAGTCAATAAAGTCGCCAAACTGTAAAGGACACGAACGGAATGAACCGGCCAGAATCATCAGAAAGGGCACTTCGGCGTTCTCTGAGGGTTGTTTCAGAACTTTCGAGAGCCAAAGAACGATAGGAATTCTGTACTTCAGTGGAAGCTTCGCGCTAATTTCCGTTTTATCCTGCTCTCTTGGAATCGCTTCGGAATTACTATGCTGATCCTCGGTATTATTGAACAAGGTCGGGGCTTCTAAGGAAACGAATGCAGGACCAGATCACTTTACTTCAGATGAAATGAGTAGTCCTTGACTTCCTTCTATCTATCGGTCCTTTGTCATTCAATTGCTCTGTTCCCACGTCAGTGGGTCGTAAACGCGGAATTATGTCAGGTGTCGCACGTGACAGCGGTGCTAAGATTTCTGCTCCTTCCAGAATTTTAGTACGACTCTCAGCTTCAATTTCTGAGATGCATAGCGTTCAAATTAAAAACGCGAATCTCCTTTTATTGCTATACAATTTTCGAGGCCATCGCCACGCCGCTTCTAATGCGACAGTTTGCGGACAGTTCTGTCCTTAAATTCAGATTGTATCTCCAATTTTTGTGCCATCTTGTCATATCAGAGCCTTAGTGCATAAGGAATACTCGCGCTTCAGCTCCTTATTAAATTCTACTTCTTCGAGGAAAAACTTTCATTGAGTTCGGCTGCCCTCGAGTTAAGCCGAGGGGCGTGGTCAGAATCGTCATGGACAGGAAACTTTTGGACGTTCCAAGCTGCTTTGTGTCAAATGACAGAGGTCTTTCTTTTTGATCAGTACTTCGCTAATGCGCGGCCGCTCTGCTACAGTGTCTCAGATTTCTGAAGAGTTTTCTGTTAACTGCCTGGATTTGTTTAGTTCCTGGTTCGAGTTCATGCGACCTTCCGCCCATTTCATTGTTTTCGTGCTAAAAATCCTATCAACTTGACGAAAATGGAGGTCAAAGTCGATTGGGACCAAAGTACCCTGTTGTTTGGGAGAAAGCAACCCGACAGATTTTTCAACAACATAATGATAATAACTAGTGGATCTTTTTGTGAACAATTTTTGCGAAATTAACTCCATGGACTCCATGGGGTTTAATAACAGCGAAATATATCTCCCCGGGCATAGTCAACATACCGCTAACATCACATGAGGGCGTGGAAACCAGTTCCGCGTCTGTGAGAGATCACAGATCTCCGCGGTAATTCGCCGATTTCTGGTATTCACACGCCACACGTGTCTCCTCCTACATTCGTAGGACATCTGACACCTATCGCCTCGATAGTATCGACTTCCGCTTACACCACCCGGAGGATTTCACCGCTCACACTCCCCCCCCCCCTAAACTCTAAACACCTCGCATTTCCTTCGAATGAGTCATCTTGGCTCTCTTCCATCAGTTTTTGGCTATTTATAAGTTTCTAAGTCCCATGAGTCATGGCATGAGGCTATTTCCTCCTACTCGTTCGACCCACATTTCACTGTCAGCTCATAAGTAAAGAGTGAGTCATTCCTTGTTGGCTCGAATTCCAACGTCGTAGCCAAAGTGCCCGGCTAGTTCACGGGAACTTCAGTTGATATTCTGTGAGTGTGTGTCCGGGAGAGAGAAAATCGGACATCTCTCCTCACCTTGTGCACTCTATGCTTGAGCTCTGCTCTATCTGAACGAGGGCAGTATGCTGCGAAAGTGTGTGTGTGCGTATGTGTATGTGCATGTGGTGGTGGCTAGAGTGCGTCCCACTCACCCATGTGCTTCGTTATTCGTTCTATAAAGGGATTGGATGAAGCTGGCCATAGCTGGACTTTATCGACTTCTCGTTATAGCCCATCATTTATGTTTTCTATGTCTGCCCAGAGATCGGGTATTCATTCACGTAAGTGGCTGACTGAGTGAGACGGCTGGTGGGAGGTGCAGACAGGACGTTTCCTGCCGTTGAGCAAGAATTTCCAGAATGCGATCTCTGGTACCACCGTCGTAGGAGACTTGTCAACCGCGGAGCTTTCCTTCTCTTCCCTTTTTTCTTCTTCCTTCATTCCCTTCCTTCCCTCTCTATTTCCTGCTCCCTTGTCTTCATCCTTCAGCTGCTGAGCTAGAAGATGCCATGGAAAAGAAACTTCTGGAAGCTCGCAGGGAGTCCGGTTGACAAGAGCCCTGCGACCGTGTTACCACCCCCTGCCCCATTCTGCCTACCATCTTCCTAAGTCTCCCAATGTACTACTACTTCCGGAGTTTTTTTTCTCTAAAAACTGGCGGGTATATGACGCACGTGAAACAAAAAAAACGAGA